AGAGGTGACGTCTCACCGACTGATGGCCCAAACCAAGCCAAGCCAGCCCATGACTGTTGAAAAGTGGTATAAAACCCCTTTTTCTTTGTACCAGGCTGTACGCATGTTTATTTCTACTGTAAAGTTGGGCACTTTAACACGGATTGACTCGCTTCTACAGCCAGCCTCAAGTGGCCATTTAAAGAACTGCAGTTTGACACTTCTGCTTGCTTGGCAGGCATAATGTTGACCATGGTAATCGTCTTGGTTTAGCGTGTTAGCACGCTCACATTTGCTAATAAGCACTAAAAACAAAAGTGCAGCTGAGACATTGGGAGTTTTGCAGTTATGTGATCATAAAATAAAGTCTTGGACATGTGAACATCATGGTGGTGCTGGGGAGAAAGTCAAGCAATCACCAAAGTCACAAACATACATCATCTGATGATCGTGAATATCGTAATATATATCGTGAATATATATGTTGAGGTATTATATTAAAACTTTGTCCCGATTTAGGTGCCAGAGGAAAAGTCAGGGGATCCCCCCCCCCCCGCTGCCGCCGCTACTGGGCACCCAGCATCTCCAACCGGGAGAAGTGGAGTAAAATCCTCTCCTCCGCTCCCGTTTGTCTGGTGAACGCCTCTCCTCTGTCAATACACTCTGCCAGCAACTTAATAAAGTTGATGCATGAAAATGTTTTAGTAGTGTGTGTGTGTGAGAATGTATAGTGAGCCGATGACTGTTGAAAAATAACTCCGCTGCGCGTCGGTGGTTCCATTCCCCTGCCGGGAGTTATTTTTCAACAGTCACCGGTTCACTATACATTATCCCTTACGTGTCTACTGTTGTTTGTACTGATACTGTACATATTGGTATCATTTACTGTGAGTTGTTTGTACTGGTACTGTGCATTCTAGTATAATGATTTGCATTACTATTTGTTTTTTCTTCAGATAAATCTGAAAATTGTTGCTCAGTCTCTTTACTAATTTATTTAGTAGAGTGTCCACACACCATCTCATTCTATATATACATAGAGGTATACTGGTGGCTTTACAGCCTACATTTTATTGATTATCTCTGATCCCCACGGCCAATTTGGTCTTTGCGACAGTGCAAGCAACACTGCTGACGCTAGGTGGCGCCAAGCTAAAAAAAACCTGAATCCTATCTGTTGCCTCTTTAAGTCTGTACCAAAGTTCATGGAAATACATCAAATAAGTGACATATTTCAGTTTGGACCGAAGTAGAGAACATAATGATTGACAAAGTGACATTATAACATTAGCATATGGTAATATAATTCTCTGACTAATGTATGTTTGCGGTTGCACCATGTTTCACAGCAGCAAATGTGGAACTTCTGGCTGAACTTTGTGAAAAATGACAAGAATTTATTTAAATAGCAGCATAACTGCTTTACCCACTTACTCCATAATAAATCTGTACAGTATATACCAGATTGCCAAAATGGGTTATGTCTTGTGTTTGTTTTCACTAACTCTGATAATGACAGCAATTGTGTTTTTTAGACAGATACATTGTTAAAGTGGGTTTCATCCCTATATGCACTGTACAGTTTGTATAAGCACTAGGTATACTGACTAACCCCAGCCCCAGCAATCAAAGGGAAGAAAAAGATAAAACGTCTTGATAATTTAAGATTAAATCCATCACTTACCAGACACCAGAATGATAAGAAGCTTCCCACTCTTGTCAAGGAGACTTTGGAAGAAGCTGATGGTAGCTCCAGGATCCTTCACATAGTACAGCATCTGTTGATTTCACCACAGATAATGAGCTGGTAACTGGATTCACAGAGCACCTAATTATAACGCTATGCTAGACAGATGTTCTAATGGGATTAATTGCCGTGGAGCGCCGCCAAATGAATATGACCTAGATGTGTCAAAAATACAGTCTGCAGGCCAGGACCACTACGCCGGCAACACCAACCTGTATCATGTGAATGAAGTCAGCCTTCTTAGTCATCTTTTTCACTCTCCAGTGCTCCTCAAACTCAGAGGAAGTCATCTTGTTCCAGGTGAATTTGATGTAATCTAAATCTGGTTTCTGTGACACCAAAACTGTATCAACAGACACGCAGAGCGATAGAATGTGATTGATATATCACTGTGAATTCTGACGTGGTAACATTATTGTACAGTTACAATCTGTATTGTCACAATAAATCTCTGTATCATATGCCATGGAAAATATAATTTAACTCCACCATCACTTCAATTTCAGTGTATTATACAGTGATGTTAACAGTGAAATGAACATTATATTCTAATGTTGACACGGAGTGCTTTTATTTTAAGCCATGATACTTGCAGCCGACACTTGTCACATTGTTAGAAATAATTAATTTGTAATTAATCTAGATTAATTAATAATTTGCACTTTAGTTATGTAAAAGTACAGAATGATCAGGAGGCTCATTACATGATCTGCCAAAATCTTCTCTCCAGCATTAACCAAAGTGCAAGCAGGAGCACTTTTTTTTTTCCTTCTACCTCTGGCACCAGAAAATAAAACCTCTGCCCTCTCCCACACAAGAATCTTGCAATATCCTTTGATCGCCAGTCACCAATGAACTGCCTCTCCCCAGCGTCTGAGCTCTGTTTACTAGGATTTGAGGTTCAGCTCAGATTCTCAGCCCTTAAGTCTCCTCTGGCGACACAGTTTCAGAGTTTATGGCTTCTGACACTGAAGCCTTGGAGCGGGGAACCAGCTAATTACCCCAAAGAAAATGCAAATAAGCAAACTCATCAGTCAGCCAGGAAGGATCCCTGACATTCAAAGACTTCAAGTCATTCTTTTATTGCTTCCCATTGAAACTGTTGCATGTATTTAAAACTATGCAACTTTCTTAATGAACCAAACCCTGAAGATTAAGGAAATCATATACATGTGTTTCTAAGTAGAATAACCTTGTCTAATAATTCTCATTAGTTGATTTTAATGATTCGAATACCATTCAATCTAATTATGTCACGTTTGGTTTTATTTTACCTCTCTTAAAGCAAAGTTTCCAAATCTGGCCTTTGTTATGTTCAAAAATTAATAGGGCAAGTCTTGAATATGACATTCTCTATACATCATTATCCTACAACTGCCTGGCAAGATAATGGTAACCAGTGGCTGCTCCTGTTATAACTCTGAACCACTTGTATTGAGCAGTTATCCTCTTCAGGTGTCAAACAAATACTCTGGTCTGGTCAATTCTGGTCAATATTCATCTCAACATTGAATAGCTTTCCTCTATTACTGATACTAATTAATTTTATGTGTACATAAAATTACCATGGGTTTGTCCTGTGTTTGCGTGATTACATTTCAGTCACTAGTTCAAGCTCTATTCGGTAAAAATGAGTATTTGGCATAGGTAAATTATAAAGATTTGTCTTTAAATGTAATCTTTTGTTGAAAAACTTGTATAAATACAGTTGTTTAAGGTGGAATATGTTGATGATTTCACGGCATATATAAAATAGGTATTAGAATGGATTATTATATATAATAAAAATACTTTTGAAGCATTTCCTTTTATGTTTTCATGTGAAAAAAAGTTATTTCAAAGGTTGCTTCACAGATGTGTATGACTGAATTAATGCTCAATCAAAGGTAGTGTAATAAAGGATTGGATGGCTTTATAACAGCTCAGTTTTTTATTGGCGATTTCTTTGTATCTCTGACACTAATTGTGCGATAAATAGGAACAAAAACAAAATTCACAACATCGGAATCGGTATAGGCTATCGGCCAAATTGTTATTTTGAACAATGGTATCAGCCCATTTTACTGTACAGTCTGTGCATTCCTAATCTTTTCACATCTAACTCAGTGAATTAAGGGGTTTATTTCAACCAAAGCAGAGTTGGCGATTGTTGGAACAAACAAAGGTAGCGCTGAACACAATTACCGTCATATGGCAAATACCCTGGTGAAACTTCAAGAAAGTATGAAGGACTGAAAATCATATACTGCCAAAGCCTATTAGCACAACAAGAAGAATAGAGCAGCAGACTTCAAAGACACTTCACAAAGGTGGGTATTTGCTGAGTAGCTTGAATATGGGACTACAAATACCATCCCCCTACTCCTGCAATACATGAATAACTGTATTATTAATGCACGAAATGTATTCTCTGCATTAAAAGCGTAATAAAAAGTAAGCATATTTGCTGTTAGATTAAATATTTAAACATATTTTGGGGGCATGTGAAAATAGAGACAGTATGCATTTGTGATATGTAAGATACTCGCGTGCCTATAAAGACTTTACCTCTGTATTTATGAAGCTGTGTGCTGCTTGGTTCCACCACCTCGTTATCCACAGTCACCCCTGGGTGCTTCAGACGGAGCTCGGAGAGCATCTCAAGGTCAATCTCACCTACATGCACAATGTAATTTTTTTTTTCAAAAACATCTGTTTCTTGCACATGAAACTTTGGCCTACTCTCCCCATGGGACTCAAACTGTTTAAAGATAAAGAACGACAGTATATGTAGTCAACTGCAATATCATCACAATTCAAACAGTGCTGCAGATTTAAGCATGGCATAGCTAACAGCACTTGGCAGTTTTGCAGGAAAAGATACATTTAATGTTGCATTAATCTCAGAAAAACCTTGACTGAAAGCTCAGAAGCAGAGTTATCACTACGCTATTCCTTTCAATATCATTTAGCCACAGGCGGGTGATTTTGTTCTAGTTCTTATCAAAGCTGACAAGTTGCCGCGTACAGGGGGTAAATCTAAGCAAAGAAGCCGATGTGGACAGGTGCTGAATCTTTCTGATTAGATTGAATAATACCTTGTGGGGGAGTTTGTAGTCATTCTAATGGATTTTACAGTCCATTAGAGAATCTGTACCATCGCTCCATTATGATACTGACATGACAGCTCAGGTAAATTAAAAGAATTGGCTTTGACATAAGTGAAGGGTAATAGCCCTCATGGGCACATAGTGAGTTTGCCCAAGAACAAATTAGCCTTGCTGTATCATGAGCGCTGGAAACAATGTGCAGTAAAACCAAAGACTAGTGAGGTCGCTTTCTCTGCGACTAAGGTTAAAGATTAATCTGACAACTGGACAGATGCACACAAACCCTTGGCAGTGATAATAAGAGTAAAGGTTTTTACTGGTGCAGCCATAAATGACAGCAGAGCAATGGGAACAGTTAGAGCAGCCTGATTCAACAACCCCTCCTCACCTTTGCTGTCTGCTGCCGAGGTCGCTCAGCTATTTACTGTGTCACGTAGAACATAAGATAAGTTCAGCAGTGAAAGTGTCCTACACTGTGTGTTCTTACCAGCTCCACTCCCAACTCCAATGACATTTAGATGGCGCTTTCCATCTCCAATGCTGAGGGGAGAGCAGAAAAACACTTTGAGTTCTCAGAACAGTCAAATCTGGAAGTTCACATCCTCCAACCTGCCGAATGTGGGTCACATTTTGGGGCTCGTAGCTGTCAATTCTGCCTGACACGTCTGAGATGTTCCCCGTCTGAAGCATCTCCAATACCAAGCCTTTGATTGTTGCTATGGCAGGTTCTGTCACTCACCGTCTGATTTTTAATAACACTATTACACTTTTATTAATTCACTTGTGAGCTGTATCTCTTCTGATTCCTCCCTGATGTGCGTCTTAGACAGTCACAGGGTTTAGATCTCTGCAGCATGGCGTCGGCCTCTTACAAGCTTATATCAACATAGAAAAAATGCGAGTAGAGAAATTTCCATTAACACTCATTGTCATTCACATACATATGCACAGCTTGTTTGGCTGGGTAATCTAATGCATATTTGCAAAGTCAATTATCAGATTTTTTTCTGGGCATACCAGTAACACACAGCATGATAAAACCCATGTATAATACTTACAGTACATATTCTTATTTGGGTTTTTAGTTTAATCATAACCAGATGACACTGCTGGCTGTTTGCTGCAGTAATGATTAAGACAGAGCGCATGATGATTAGCACAGGTTATTTTACTTCTTGGTGTGCGACAGAGCTCATCTCTCTCATCAGACTGCATTTTAATCACTTTTCTTTTATCACATTTCTGAAAGACACGTGTGACAAGTTTATTTGAATGAGGTGTCTGTGCCTTTTTAATGATAAAATGTGTTTTTGACAGATACATTCTCACCAGCACAAAGTTACTTTCAGCCCAGGGATAACACTTTTCTAAAAAATACAGCACATACAAGTTTCACAGAGGTATGTTTCGATATATAATGAGAGGTGAAGTGTGTCTCTCTTTATCTGTCATGTTAATAACATTACAGGAGTTATTTTATGATCAACGTTTTTTTTTTTCATTCTGCATCCATCAGCTTTCTCACTTCTGATCTACTGTTCTGAAATCTGATTCCTCCCTTGACAGTTTAATGGTTAATACCTTCTCTTGGGTCAATGTAATCTAATTAATCAGCAACAATCACAACACAAGAACACAAATTATATATATTCACAAAAAATATATATATATATATTTTTATATATTTAGTTTAGTGCTGTCTATTTTGCTCATTTTCCATCTTATACAACTACAACATACACAAGAAAAAAATAATAAATAACAATAATAACTCATTACTGTTGAAGCAGTGACAAACCAAATCAAGTTTTACTGACCGAAAAGGTGTAGGCTGAAGCATTTGCTTTTTCCACCTACCCTTTCCACACTGTTTTGTACTGTTTGTTTTAGATTTACACAATGAAAATGAAGAAAATATATGTATATTAAATATACCCAAAAGTTCCAAACAAAAATTCATATACACCCACTAGTGTTGTTAAGTCAGTTATATATTTGTTAATCATATTTGTTTTATCTACCAACTACAGTACATTTTTTCATTTCCTTTTCAAAACTATTTCACAGATAAACTCCTTTGACCATTATATATCTGTGTATTGCATTTGTTATTTTTGAACTGCAATGTCTTTACTTTACTTATAGGCCACCACGTATGGCAATATACCAATATTTAAAGTCACTAAACTTAGATCAGATGTTATATCTTTGTAGCTCTACTGAACACTTCATTCATTTCCCTTCAGCCCCTGAATTTTTTGTTGTACGACAACACCACTGAGCAGTATATCACTTTAAAAGCTAGTCATTATTCTCTATTAATATATCATATTCAAATGTATTCTGATGTTCTAAGAAATTGTTGATGGTGTGGTCATGTGGCTTCACTCATGTGTGTGTGTGTGTGTGTGTGTGTGTGTGTGAGATTACCTGGCCAGTATACCTGGCAGCATATTGTGGATGAAGTCCCGCATACACTGATGCTCAGAGGAGCGCTCCAGAAAAAGATGGAAGGCTTTCTGGTACCTGCTATCATCATCAACCAGACTCTTCAGTGAAGATTCCATGGCAAATTATCTGACAAAAAATATATACGTTAAAAAAATCAATCAACAGCTGAGGAGGTCAGAACTGTGTGTGTGTGTGTGTGTGTGTGTGTGTGTGTTTTTTTTTTTAGCTTTCACGCAATTGCTGTTGCAGGTGAAAACCTCTACTGTACACATTACCTGTCAGCCCAACAATATGGGCGGCACTGTGACTGCATTGGGAGTTAGAGTTTTGCTGTCATATCTGTCATCTTAAGATGACAAAGAAGAAGATAATTATAAGTATTTGAGTCAATGTATAATAGGGCTGCCATTATTTTTATTGGCAATTAAGCTGTCAATTGATTTATTCATTTCATTTCAATTATTAGGATCCCCATTAGCTGTAGCCGAAACAGCAGCTATTCTTCCTAGGGTCCACACCAAACACAATACTATATACAACAGTGAGTATGTGCTACAACAGCACATACTCACTAAAACAACACCAACCACAATGACAACGAGCAAAACACAATACAACAACAGAGAGGACCTTGCTCTAATCATAGAAAAATCAAAAATAAAATACTTCTACAGAGGTATAAAGTACAAATGACTCATATTTAGGTTATTGCACAAGGCATTATAAATGAAAACCAAAACCAAAATGGGCTAATGCGCTTCAGAAATGTCAAAAAGGTTTCACAGTGCTAACATCATTCTCATCATCCACACCAATATTACACAAGACATATAATTTAACTATTAACACTCTTGTAGTATATGATAAGATCCTCTAGATTGTATAATCTTTTAAACTTATGTAGTTGCTCCCAAATTATCATTAGATGAGGAGATGTAGTTTTAGTGATATTCTAAAGCGATCTTTACGGTTTTCCTAAACATATGCTCAAGCAGAGAGTTCCATGTAACCATAGCTCTGTACATTACAGTGTTCTTCATCATACTATATCAGTGTTTCCCCACATCCCAAGATGACCTCCTCAAATTTCTTTTTTGTCTCTATAAACCAAGCTATTCAGTTTACTGTCATAGAGGAATAAAGAAACCAGATAATATTGACACTTAGGAAGCTGATATCTAAGAATTTTTACATATTATTTCTTTAAAATTACTCAGACTAATTTATTATCGAATTAGTTGGCGATTAATTTAGTAGTTGACAGCTAATCGAATTATCATTGCTGTAATTTATGATAGGTTGCAATTTTTAGATCTTTTGTTCTCTTATTGTCACTACATTATACTACACTCACTTCATTTACACAGATGTGTATTATTTTAATGCGTATTTACCCTCTATCCTATCCTCCTGTCAGTGCTGTCTTCAGTATGTCTGAACCTGTTGCTGGAGACTGATGGGCTCCACCCAGTATGAACCGAGCTGTACTACAGCGGATCACTCTTGGCTGTAGGATCGCTGACACGGAGCATGTCTCCAGCAGCTGCACGCCGTATCTTTCCTATTATTATGACACAACTGACCGTGTGTTTGCAGAAATGTTTCCAAGCACAGCGGAAACACAAAACAGCTCCTCACACACACACACACACACACACACACAGATAAGAAGCCTGTGGCGTCCCTCGCTGTCAACACAGCTGATCGCAATGCAAGCTGCCCGCTCAGTAGATGTCACAGATCCAGTTTTACATCATATACAGTGTGCATGTGTTGTGTAAGGTGCACACACCGAGACAAAACGCGATATTTGCTTTCACTTACATGTAGTGCAGGAGGAGTATGTGTGTCCGTACAGATCTGCAGAGCAGCAGGCTGGAATAAAACCCTCCCACTACAGTTACAGCTTCCCTTCAAGGAGGGCCGAAGAACCCGTCAAGAAAAATCAATCCAATGACAAAACACTTCATACACAAGCCAAGCCCAACGCCTTAAAGGCCTATGAGTATTTGGGCATATTCACAAATGAAACGTTTGACTTAAAAGCATATTGCTAAAGAAGCCAGAACAAACGCTGAATTGTATTAGAAAGCAATAATGAGGGAGATTAAGTGACTGTTCTAATGTCTGTGCGTAAATAACAGTGACAATCAGTTGGGAGTAAAAGCAGCTTGCAGATAAAAGTTCTGCTGAATGAGGGAGCCTTTGGTTTACATTTGGATTATAGCTGTGCATATCATAGGCTAGGGAACAGCATAAAGGCTTAAACAGGGGACAGCTGCTCCTGAAGTAAATATCATTAAGTATAAAAAAATATAATAAAAATGTATTTGCATGCACAGTGTTGCCATTCATTTCATTTTTCATTTACTTTTTATGAAAACAATAGTTTAGCTTCAGAGTTTCCTTGAGGCCAACACGGCAAGTTAGTTTTGCCCTGGATTTTTTCCATTGGATTTTGGCTTATTGCAAAAAATAAGTGATGTAACAAAGAGGGGCATAAATATGGACAGTGCAGGCAGTATGGCAGTGCAGTTGCACAAGGGCCCATGGTTTGGAGGGGCACAACTGCCACCTGAAAATATGCCCGTGGTCAAAGACAAACTCACATTAAATGAAAAAATGGTGCAGTTTTCTAAATATGCCCTCAAAAACGTTTTTCTGTTTTTGTAATATAGTATCAATCTGTAACGATATGCTTATTCTTCATAAAGTATAAAAACCTACAGTTTAAGTATTAAAAAACTATTTAGTTAGACTAATAATTTACTATTTTATTTTATAGTCGTCATGTACATATATTTAATGATGATTGCTGGGTAATACGTATGTTGATGTCGTCCAATATCAAGTCTCTGTTTAATTGTGTAACGAGAATATGAGACTTACATTACAGTAGCTAGTTCAGCTGCAAAATCTCTCAAGACTGATAAGCTGGGAACATGTGGATATAACATAAAAGCGGCAGTAAGACAAACTGTTGGTAAAATATATCTGTGTGCTTTATAACTAGTATCTAGGGTGCACCAGGACCCGTCATTATAGCGTGCACTGGGGCCCATCATAACTATCCTACGCCACTGGTGGCAAACCAACAGGTATGATGTTTACACATTTTGTTCACAAATAAACACCACTTTTATGAATTTTGAAGCTTAATGCAATCACCATAAGTTAAAAAGCTAACATTAGGCTATTATCAAACTACACCAGGATCTCATGATTTAACGTCGCCACCACAGCAAGGTTGTAAAGCTGTGTTCAGCGTGATGACGTTCTGTAGTCTCATTTAGCCACTTGTTAGCAGCTTCAAAATTTACGAGTGGGGTATTTACTGATGTATTTTATGTCATAGAACAAAATGTGAAAGTCTCTTGAGCTTTTGTTACCCACAGACCATATTGGAGGCTTCTAAACAAAAACCTATCCAAAAAAAACACTGACTTTGAGACAAGGGGACCAGGAGTGCTAAAATGCTAACTTATTTTAGGGTTTCATGACTCAAGGCATTCTATTCAATTATGCTTAAAATGCCCCCAAAAAACAAAAGCAAAACTACTATTCTATGACAGGCAACCCTGCACAATTATCTGAAATAATCATTATCAAATGTAGTCAAGAAATTGCCATTATTGTTAATAATGGTCATGGTGTGCTGCAGTTAACAAGCAACATTAATGTCTTTATTACGTTATATTTGTCACATAGCCCACACAAAATGTGAATAAGTTCCTAATGAAGAGAGCACGTATGCACCCACATGTGGCTGCCTAGGGAAAAAGCGCTGTAACCCTAACCCTAACCCTTTTTGCTGAGCGCTCTGCCTTTTTTTGCTACTCCAAATGCTTCCGGTTGAAAATCTCTCAACTTTTCAGAAAGGCTCCAGTGACGTCACTGTCATTTCATGAGCAAGGCCAGTGGTTTTCAAACTTTTTGTTGCTAAGGTACATCAAAGGGCACAACAAAATCTCAAGGCACACCTGTACTTATATCTGCACATAATAGCTTCTATAACGTGTGTTATCACTCTTATCATGATATAAGACAATGAAAATAAGAAAAAAGAAGACAGGTAGCTTTGTGATACTGTCTACTGTTAGTTCTTTTCTCTTTTCTTTCTGTGATAGGTTGTCTTTGCTCGTGCTTTGTTGTAATTTGCTCCGTACAAAAAAGCAATCCATTGTCCCACTCACGGCTCTCTCCTTTTAAATGTTATCATCCCTCACACTGGCTGCCAATCAGGGCTTTCGATGTGTCACACACCAATAATTTCCACGTGCAAACGGCAACAAGTAGGTTCCCTGTGAAGGTTTTTTAAATTTAATTAAATGACATTTTTAGCCAGAGTTTACCTCTTTATTAAGAAATGTCTGCATACAACATACTGATACAGTCAATTTAAAATTCATTCATAACTTTTTGTGTAGGCCCAGTTGAATATTACAATAATAATGTGCAGTTATCACATAATCCCATCATCCCAGCATCACAGCACACCATTTGAGAACCAATGAGCTTGGCTAATGTCCACTGTTACAGCAAAAACAGAAAAGCTATTTTTTTGGCAGCAGATCGGCTGGTTGACAGTCGATATTGTTGGTGAGTGTCGTGCTTTTATCATAGTTCACTCTGTAGGCTTGTTGTTGACTGTGTAGTCAACCTCTGTTGATGTAGTGTTATGTTAGCTACCCAGCTAATGTTAATGCCAAGATATTGTTGTCATAGAAACATACCCATGCAGGGCAGGTTTTTTTTTAAAAAAGGGATTGGAGTGCCTAAGAGCAACCCAGCTCCCTGCCATCACTTTTCTGCTGAAGAAAAACACAGTGTGGACACAGGCCCTAAAGTGTCACTTATGTTACACTGCATATTAAATGTATGTAGACAGTAGTAGCTTTAATTTAATGCATATTTGTATCGTATACTGTACAGCTGTGCTTGCATATGTGAAATAAAATAATAGGTAATGAGCTTTCATTTTGATTTTTTCTTGTGAGGAGAGACCCCCAGACTTATTACCTACACCTAGAGTCTTGACTCATTGCGACACTCCCCAATTTTTTTTTCTGAAGATGGTCACTTTGGGATAAAAACAAGACTAAATGCTTTCATTTCTTTGCCTGTCCATGTCTCCCACATTTTAGTCGTCATAATGTCAGGCAGGAATTAGGCCAAGAACTCAAATTAGATTGTAATTAGGCCACAGACCCCATGTGATAAGATTTTAATCCAGGGAGTGAATCCTGAGAGGGAGATTTTAGTCAGATATGACTGAGTGGTTCATAATGGTGGTGTTTAGATAAAAGACTATAACAATTTCCCATTTTTAGACACACACCTCTGTGGTGAATATTTCTTATGGACATCAGCTGTTCCTCAGGAGATTCACTGCAGTCATCTGGTCTCAGCTGATGACTCCAGCACTCACACTCACATTGTTTCAGGACTTTGCAACATGATTTCTGCATTATTTGGAGACTTGGGTCATTAGAATCCTATCCGTTTACAATGGGAACGCTGAGGACATGTCCCCACCACTTTTTGAAATAACTGATTTTGCCCACATGACTTTTTAAAAACAGAATATGTTAAAAATGTTCTGATCTAGGCTTGCAACACAGCAACACAGAGATGGTATCTTTAAAAGATGAATAAAGACTGATTGTGGATTGAAGAGTTGTGCAAAGGAATTTCACACAGCTAAATTAGGGCTTTATAATTAAGCAAGTAATTTCTTTTAGCTGTGAATAAACATTTTCCTTTTGTTTAACACATTAAATACAAGATAGTTCCAGGTCTCTCTGTGAGATCTGTATTAATTCTTTACAAAAAGGGTGTGAAAGATATGTAAAACTAATGACAACATGTCAACACATTTGCAAGAGAAGACTTTCATTAAGCATTTTGTAGCATCCAAGAAAAACTGTAATATTTGAAAGCAATACAGAATGCCTACAAACCTTATTGCATTATATTTTTATATTTTGGAATGTCATCTGCTGCCTGCATTTTGTGTTTTCCTTCACATAATGCAAATAAAGACATTTCCACCATAAATGTGTGCATAGAAATGTGCCTGACTGCAGTGTTTGATGCTCAACATGTTCTGGGAAAGGACCCAGCCCATGTCATTTAAGTCCTTATGCCCCAGCCACTTCTCAAGTCATACTGTAATAAAAAGACCATTTTTGTGCCATCTACTAATTAAAGGATCACCATTATGACAATTACAACAGCTTTTCAATGAACAAGTGAATCTGTATATTAATTTGTTCTTGTGTTTACTTGATGTATTTTGCCTCTAAAACTGGCAGAGAAATCAATACATCATAACTTGTCCACCTGGAAGAAAAATATTTTTGACTGCAACATTCTATTTTCTGACCTCTTGCAAACATTAAACCTTCAGCTTATATAAAATACTGCTTGCAGAACACGATCTAAAGCTTAGAAACCTGACCATATTGCATCAAACTGTCCTGCCATCATTGGACTCAGAGTTCAAACCAGGCTGAACTTCAAAGTCCTTTATATTAATTACACAAGCTTGCACCATTTTATCTATCTGACCTCATTGTTCTCCATGTGCCACCTCCACG